GAACCCGCCACCTTAGGTGTATGTGGCTGGCGCCTTAGCCGCTTGAGCCACAGGCGCCGAGCCTCTTTGTGAGTTCTTTGTGAAGAGATTTCTTTTACCCATTTTGTACTTTCAATCAATATTGTGTTCTCTTTTTCCATTAGCTGTTGATCCAGAAATCATAGCTCAATGTACTGAAGGCTTTTCTGGAGCAGAGCTGGAGAATCTTGTGAACCAAGCTGTACTACTGGCAACTGCTGATGGAAAAGAAATGGTTTCCATGAAGGAACTAGAGTTTTCCAGAGACAAAATTATAATGGGTAGGTTTTCTTAATACTTTTTTTTTCTACCTTTTATTCTTCATTGTGTTATCAGCAGTTCTCAACCTGTAGGTCGTGACCCACAGGAACCATATTAAAGGGCCATGACATTAGGAAGGTTGAGAACCACTGTTAGGTAATTAATTCCTTCTTCTTTAGCAAGTATTCTATTCAGACAACTAAAGCTGTGGTGGTGTGAAATCTAATCTTACTCTAAAACTTCAGTGTCTGGGGGTATTCAAGATTTGCAATAAATAATTTAACAAATTCCCAATTTGAGAGTCAAACAAATACCAGTAAACGGTAACATTTTCTCAACAAGATCCATCTTGTCAGTGATGTAGAACTGATTTTACAATGTGGCCCATTCTTTAATTTTGTCTTTTTCTGAAAAGACATTTTTTTCTGACTAAAAGACAGAAAGATTACAAAAGGAAAAGTTATGGCATCATGAAAATACATACTTTTTTTTTCTTTGTGACAGAGTCTCACTCTGTTACCCTGGGTAGAACCTCCAACTTCTGGGTTCGAGCAATCCCCTAGCCTTGGCCACTTCAGTATTGGGACTACAGGTACCCACCACCATGCCCAACTGGTTTTTCTATTTTTTTTTTTTTGAGACGGAGCCTCAAGCTATCCCCATGGGTAGAGTGCCATGGCATCATGCTCACAGCAACCTCTAACTCCTGGGCTCAAGTGAGTCTCCTGCCTCAGCCTCCCAAGTAGCTGGGACTACAGGTGCCCGCCACAACGCCTGGCCATTTTTTGGTTGCAGCCATCATTGTTGTTTGGCGGGCCCGGGCTGGGGATTCGAACCCGCCACCTTAGGTGTATGTGGCTGGCGCCTTAGCCACTTGAGCCACAGGCGCCGAGCCAGGTTTTTCTATTTTTAATAGAGACAGGGTCTTGCTGTTGCTCAGGCTGGTCTCAAACTCCTGAGCTCAAGCAGTCCATCTGCCTCATCCTCCCAAAGTGTAAGGATTACAGGCATGAGCCACCTCACCTGACCTTGAAAATAACACTATTTGGCCTCTTACAGAACAAATATATTCTAGTACCTTATATCATTACCCCTGCATTTCCTCTTGTACAATATTGCTCAAAAAAGAATAGTTAATTTCACTTATTCTTTGTTTACTTCTGATTTTAAATCTTGGATTGGCTTAAAAAGAGGTTAGTTAGGATATTCCTGTTAAGTTGGAAGTTTATTTCCTGTATATAGAATTAAACTCTGCCTTTTGATAAAAGGATTAAGGTGATAGTTCTGATCATTTTGCTTTGCAGATAATAAATTGTTATAGTTTGTATGTGTTATAGAATGAATTCTACCCATTTAAAAAAATTTTTACTCTTTAAAATATTGATTAATAATATTAAATTATGTTACCTTAAGAATGGCTTTGAGGAGAATAATTTTCATATTCTCCTAATGTCACATAACTTTTATCCCTCGGTGTCCTTTTGGTATCCATGGGGGACTGGTTCCAGAAGCTCCATGGATACCAAAATCAAGGATGCTCACACCTCTTATATAAAATAATGATATTTGCATATAACCCATGGATATTTTCCCAGATACTTTAAATCATCTCTAGATTACTAATTATTAACATATTAACATACCTAACATAGTATCAATGCTCTATAGTTATACTATATTGCTTTTCATTTGTTATATTTTTATCAGTTTTTTTCCCTCAATATCTTTGATCCTTAGATATGTGAACCCATAGATGTGGAACAGGTGGGTAAAGAGAGCCAACCGCATTTAATTTGCAAATGACAATGGGTGTCATTGATTTAAATATACCTGTAATGGAATATTTTTGACTTATAAAAATTTTATGTTAGGCCCAGAAAGGAGAAGTGTGGAAATTGATAACAAAAACAAAACCATCACAGCATATCATGAATCTGGTCATGCTATCATTGCATGTTATACAGAAGGTGCAATGCCTATCAACAAAGTTACAATTGTTCCACGAGGGTCAATACTTGGAGAGGTAAGTTTTTTGTAGTTTTTTTCTCTGTTTTCAAATTGAGCTTTCCAGGAGCTTATTTGGGACATCACTGTTCAAAACATTTACAATGAAAATTTAGCTACTTCCTATGGTTTTTGATATTTTCTTCTGCTTCCTGAACCATCTTGAAATCAGACATATTTGTGAAATTTTTCTGTTAATTAAAAGTATTCTTTAAATGTTTTTCACATTACATACTGTATTTACAATTTTTTTTTTTTGCAATTTTTGGCTGGGGCCAATTGACTGTGGCCAATTTTGGCCACCCCGGACATAAGGGGCCGGTGCCCTACTCCTTGGGCCACAGGCTCTGCCCTACTGTATTTACATTTTGAAGTTTAGTTGACTAATTGCAGCAAACTATAATTCTTAAATAGCTAATTGTTCTGCTCCTGCCAAAGAAAAAAATATGTGTCATAATAATGGCTTCAGTAGTTTGTTGGGGTTTTTTTTGCAGTTTTGGCTGGGGCTGGGTTTGAACCTGCCACCTCCAGCATATGAAATTAGTGCCCTACTCCTTTGAGCCACAGGCACTGCCCTTTAACATTTTTTTTGAGACAGAGCCTGAAGCTGTCACCCTGGGTAGAGTGCTGTGGCATCACAGCTCACAGCAACCTCCAACTCCTGGGCTCAAGCGATTCTCCTGCCTCTGCCTCCCAAGTATCTGGGACTACAGGCACCTGCCACAACACCTGGCTGTTTTTTTGGTTGCAGCCATCATTGTTTGGCAGCTCTGGGCTGGATTCGAACCCACCACCTCAGGTGTATGTGGCTGGTGCCTTAGCCACTTGAGGCATAGGCACTGAGCTATGGCTTCAATAGTTTTTCTAAGATTTTTGTCATTTAGTACATGTTTCATTATATTTTCTAAGATTTTTGTCATTTAGTACATATTTCATTAGGCATTTGAAACATTTTTGTGCATCTGGGGCAAGAAAAGTCCTATTGCAATAGTGTTTATAAAATGCATTTTTGCTTTATAAAGAATTTTTTTTTATTCTCAATTGCTGGTTTTATCATTAGTCATCTGATTGCCATATTTATTCAGCTTTCAGCATCATGGTATTAAGTACTTTAAGTGAAAGCTAAGTAATTACTTTGGTATTTTTTGATTTTTTTTTTTTAGAGACAGAGTCTTACTTTGTCACCCATGGTAGAGTGCTGTGGTGTCACAGCTTACAGCAACCTCCAGCTCTTGGGCTTACATTTGCCTCAGCCTCCCGAGTACCTGGGACTACAGGCGCCCTCCACAACACCTGACTATTTTTTTGTTGCAGTTCAGCAGGGGCTGGGTTTGAACCTACCACCCTTGGTATATGGGGCCAGTGCCCTACTCACTGAACCACAGGCACTGCCCATAACTTTGGGTTTTAATGCAATGATTTCAGAATTGTATCTGAATATTCTTTTCTTTTTTTTTTGTTTTTTGAGATAGAGTCTCACTGTTGCCCTGGGTAGATAGAGTGCCATGGCATCAGAGTTCACAGCAATCTCAAACTCCAGGGCTCAAGAGATCTTACCTCAGCTTCCCATGTAGCTAGGACTATAGGCACCTGCCACAATGCCCAGTTTTGAATTCTTTTCTTATTACCTCTTTTTTTAACTGTCTAGGTCTCCCTGTTGCCTGAGAATGACAAATGGAATGAGAGTAGAACCCATCTACTTGCACAAATGGACGTTAGTATGGGAGGAAGAGTAGCAGAGGAGCTTATATTTGGAATTGACTATATTACAACAGGTTGGTTTGAAAGGATGGCTTTAGTTCAAATTGAGTTGGAAGGGTTAAAGATACTTTAAAAAAATAAATATCTTTTTTTTTTAAATTTTAGGTGCTTCTATTGATTTTGATTATGCAACTAAAATAGCGAAACGAATAGTTACCAAATTTGGAATGAATGAAAAGGTAATAGCTAATCTTAATCCCTTTCATATTATCAGTCACGTGCCAAGTGTCTCTTTGACAGATGGTTCTGATTATAAATTAGTAACATTTACTTTTCCCCATCTCACTCCAGATAGATTTCAGACTGCTTCTGAACATTACTGTAAATTTCATTCTCTGAGTAGCAGAAATATAGCACTCTCTTTAGCTGCTGAGAATTAGCTGCTTAGAAAGTAACTATGAATTTATGAGTTAGCCAAGCGATAAAGTAAATATTTTAGCCTTTTCATATGGTGTAAAAGAGCCTACTTTCTTTTTTATTTATTTCCTGGCTTTTTTTTTTTTTTTTTGGTGAGACAGGGCCTCAAGCTGTTGCCCTGGG